ATGGGGTCTCTTTCGTCACAGAATGTTTGGTATTTCTATATTGCAGTAGAAAAGTGTTTACTCCCCTCTCCAGCTCATTAAACGTTGAGGCGGCAATAGAATCAATAGCAGTTTTCAATGTCCTGACAAAATTTCCTGCCTGACCATTGGAACAAGGATGTCTGGGAGCAGTAAACAGATGTTTGCAGCACATACCGTCCAACCAGGTAGTGACAGCATCCGCAGCAAAATGAGAGCCATTATCGGTAACTAACACCATGGGAACCACTTCTAGACTAAACGCCTTTCTTAATGCTTGGATTGTGAAGTTAGAATCATGTGAATTTATTGAAAAAGCCTTCAGGCTACTTACAACAAGAATCGGCGACTACAAATGCATAATCTTTGCCGAAAGATGGACCACTATAGTCTGCATGAATTCGATGCCAGGCCTCAGACGATACTAGCCATAGAGTCCACTTTGAAGGCTGATTTTTCAACTTATGACACTCTTCACAATTGTTTGTTGTATGATATATATCTGCATATATTTCTGGCCACCAAAATGTGAGCCTTTCCAAAGAATTCATTTTCTCAACATCTAAATGTCCGCTATGAAGATCTTCAAGGACAGATTTACACAATGAAGGAGGAATAACAACACGATCATCTAAACATAAAATACCATCAGGAGTAGTGATCAATTCATCCCGCTTTGAAAAATAGAGAGGAAATCTACGTTTCAGATTAGCATTCCAACCTTTACGTATAGCATTGAGTATACATTCAAAGTATCGACGAGTTTCTCTGATAAGATCTGGACGTCTCACTGGTTTATCTTGTAATGACTGTCAACCAGTTGAATTCGTTTGGCACTCTTGTGCTGAACCATATAGTCATAGGCACTCAAAGCAATACTCTGTCGTTTTTCAGGATGATAAATAAAGTTTAAAGCTTCATGATCAATAACAACAGTGAACTTCTTTCCGAAAAATATTTATGAAGTCTTTTAACTGTCCAAAACACAGCTAATGCTTCTCGCTGGATTTGTGACTAACCTTGTTCAGTAACAGTAAGTTTGCGTAAAACACAAATAACTGGTCTACCTTCCTGCTTCAAAACCGCGCCAATACCCACAGGTGATGCATCAATAATAAGCACAGAATGTACGCTAGGGAAGTTTGGAGAACAGCATCACATTGAAGAAATTTTAGTAGGCTTCGTAAGCATGACTCTCGTTTCGCACCATATTTAAATGAATTTGATGTTGAAATATTAGATAAACAGTTGGCACAACAACAAAAATTAGGAACAGCAATGAAGAGCATCTACTAGTGAACATAGTTCTGTAAGATTTTTCAGAGATGGTGCATTTGTCAGTGGAGCTGGTCGCTTGATGACTGGTCTAAAAGCAGTACTATCAACTATGTATCCAAGACATTCAGAACTTTATACACATAATGAAAACTTATTTGGGTTCACCATAATATTTTTACCAACTAAACGACACAATAAAGCAATAAGTCTGTGGTCATGAATTACCTTATCAGAACCGTGAACAGTGAGATCATCTTGATAAACTTCAACGCCTTCAAGACCACTGACTACCTTATTCATAACTTCCTGAAATATGGCTGGAGAACAGCTTAGACGAAATGGAAAGAAGCTGTATTTAAACAGGCCTCAAACAGCCTTAGTTGTCGTCAAAATAGATGAGGATTGATCTAAAGGGATTTGAAGATAAGCATCTTTTAGGTCAACTTTCGAGAACACTTTAGAACCATGAAGTCGATTTAGAATATCTTCAGCCTCTACCGTCGTGCATGTTTGCCTCAACAAACGAGAGTTCAGTGTTAATCTATGGCCACCACATATTCTAGGAGTCTTGCCGTCCGATTTCAGTGGAATAACAATAGGAGTACCCCATGCTGAAGACTGAACCGGTTCAATTATGCCTTTTGCACACAAATCGTCTAATGTCTTATGTACTGCATCTCGAAGACCATAAGGAATTATTCGTCTTTTAAGAAAGACTGGATCACCCTGTACTTGAAGTTTTATAGGCTGAATTTTCATACCTCCACTGCACTTAGCACACGCAGCTATCAAATCTTTAATTAAAGCATTAGAATTTTCTTTAGAAATTAGGAAAGACAGCTCCACTTTAGGTCTTTTCAAATTCTTTAAACCCAGTGTTGACAGTCTTATTTTGCTAACTAAAATTCACAAGGTATGTATGAAGAATTATCATCTCGTATTGGCAACTCACAGCATCCTCGTATGGGCAATCGGTGTCCAGTAATCCTCAAAATTGAAATTTCAGTGGGTCGTACCACAACGTATCTAAAGATTTCAAGTTCTTGAATGAAATAATAGACCCGACACTGCTTGTGTCCACAATAAAGTCATGAAATGAACCTAGGGATGTATATAATCGCTATTGAATATAAGCATTACCTTTCGAAATGGTAGACAACTATAAATGATCATTAAGGTCAGCTGAATTATTGGGATCTAAATTACAAGATTTAGTACTAACTGAAGCAAAATGAAAGGTAGTTTTGCATACCGACTGAATGCGTCCTATCTTACCACATTCAAAACATTTAGCATTACGAAATGCACATGAATTAAGAGAATGAAATTTACCGCAGAATAAACATTTGCCAAACTTGATCTAATCTTTGTGATTCCTTGTTGAAACACCTTTCATATTCACACGAGAATAGGAATCACTATTAAATGGACACAAGCTTGAATGACCCTAAGATTGTATTTCATCATGACGACTAAGCAAAGTATTAGAAATTTTCATCGACTGAATATCAACTTCATTCACTACCTCTTAGGTAATACATGCATTTCTAGCATCTTGAAAGGAACAGTTTGGCATTCTTAGCAGCTCTCTCAGTTGCACATGAAGTTGATCACTGAAATTACATTTGACAGCTCGTTTCTGCAATTCAAGAACAAATTACCTAACCTTTCGGTCATTCTGACCAGTCATCTTATGAAATTTCGCCCTCTTACGGCATTCAAGAATGGTGCACTTTACATGATTTAACAACAGTTTCTTAAGAGTAGTATAAGGGAGATAGGCTTTTTTGGGTATACCGAAATTTTTCATAAGTATTATGCTTCTTTTCCGATGAATGTCAGGAAATTTGCCACAATTTTATCACCCTTAACATTTTTCTTGGTCATGCTCCAGATTCAAAACCTTTTCAAATAATCCCCAAATCTTCAGAAGTTGAATGAATATCTAAATGTTTCATTGCAGGCTCCATCACAACGCTAATATGGTAATGAGGAGTATTTCAATTAAAATACAAATCAACAACTGGATCAGGAAGTACAAGATAAACACAAACGAATGTACTGTATTTGGTATTCGAATTCAAGCATTCGACAAGTACAAAGAAATCATTAGTTAACACAAACACCACGTAAATGATGAGGATCGATCTCCTTGTGCCTAACCAGATGGAGTGTCACCGTCAGTTAATGCTTTTTCGTATTGGTTACGCGAAATAAGTGGATTATAATGTTTATGCAGTTCATACGGGAAACGTTTACTTAATGTAACTCAAACCTTTTGAATATCATGATGTTTGGTAAAATCCGTTTTACTAAGATCTTTTAAAAGTCAGTCTTCTCATACGCATCCAGTTGTGCTGTCGTCGAATGTCTTTATGTATTGTTAGTCATTCGACATAACTAATCGCGTTACATCTGCCCTCTTATTAACAGTACATCTTGACAGTATTACCCCCACTTCAAAAAGAAAAACACAGTAGTCTTTGTAATTAAAGACAGTCGTAATCACTGTGTAATTTATTGTTGACAAATGATTGTACAGCTTGGTAATAAATTCATTGAAAACATAACAGGCCTTCCGAATGTATATCTAGGTGTTCAATCACAGGCTCAATCGCGACACTATTATGAGGGACTAATTAATGTACTGACTAGGAATTTCCGAAATAGTACAATTTACAGCAAGTAGAACTGGATGAACACAAATGAATGTATGATATTTGGAATTCGTAACCAGAGGTCAATGAAGTCCCAGGAAATCATAGTTCGTAAAAATAGCACGGTTCTATATCGACTGGATCATACAGTACACTTGATGATGGGGTTATGATGGCCGTGAGGATGTATGGTGAGAACACCATGTCCCAAAGCTGACAAACTAACTGTCCATTATGACATTTATCAGTCGTTGTCCAACATGTCACTCCATTAGGCAGTACGTCAAAAAGATCTTAGGTATGCAATCGTTGGTCCGGTTAGTAAAAAGGGTGTGAATATTTGACGAGAAAGACACCAACCAGTTAGCTGATGCTCTGACTGAGTGAACAACGGTTGCTCATTAAAAGTGAATTCTAAGAACAGTAAAGTATCGTCAATCGATTATTATCATGACTCACATGGGTGCACAATTAATGAAGTCTCTTTGTCTACATTTGTTTGGCACAAAGATTTAGGAGCCATAGTAAGAAATGATGTCATAACGACGGGTAATTGTGAGACAGCTCTTTGTTAAAGCTCCTGCATCTGTTTGGCAGGCTGAAGAATGTATATATACGTTTTTGGAAAGCTACAGCTCACGTACGTGAAGCAACGCTTGAAATATGGAGTGATTACATTTCGTACCTATTTCTTACACCTAAGACTGAACATTTTAGGTAACATTTCCAGACATTTCAGAAACTGCGCAGAAATATGTTGATCCCATGGTTCTTGCTCCTTCATCTAGTTATAAATTAGGGGAATCGTATTCCAGAGTACTTAGCATCAGTTCCTTCTGTTATTCGGGTTGTCAGTACCTTAAATCGCCAGGATTGTCGCAAACCACGTGAAATTCCAATTATAACACAAAAAGCTGATAAACAGCATGGATTTTCGTCAGCTCATATCGGTATTTATAAGGGCGATTTCTTACCATTCTATGAGTAGTGTGGATCGATATAGTTCATACGCACGTATTTGACATTGAGGACTGAACGTCATATGTGAGGGTATTCTAGGTATATACGTCACTGATTGGATGGCGTTGTCTTCTGACAGTTACATCAAAAGTAAGCTTTGTTTTTCTGGATTTTTTCCTCTTGATTTGTAAAAATACGAAATTATTCTCTAACCCCTAGTCATTTCTTTCAGAGGATGCCTTGTCATCTCTTGAAGACTTGTGTGTCAGATGCGTGTGCAAGAATTTAAATGTTTTAACGTATTTAAGTAGCGAAAACTGTGAAGTTAAACGAAAATGGAGATTCCCTTATCCAGGTTTTCGTCTGGTTGCTCGTCCTTCGCAGAAGATCTTGCTACAACTTTGCAAACGAAACGCCCTAGATGACGACCGGATGAGTCTTTTTAATGCAGACAGTGTCGACCTTATGTCTCCAGTTATAAAGGAAGCTAATGTCAGCCCATCATCCTTAAAAGTGCTCAAGGAATTTCGTCTGTATAGCCTTTCTGCCATGAATCTAACCAAAGTGAATCTAAATACCATCATAAGTTGTCTTGGCGAATGGACTGTTCAGAACCTAATGTGCCTCAATATATCCGGGACCTCTATTCTATGTGAAACTCATTTACCTATACTAGTTGCGCTCGGAAGGTTCAAGAATCTTAGTGTTCTTAATGCAAGTAGAACTGAACTAAGTACACAGTGTTTACAAATTATTGCTGATGACCTTTTAAATCTTCGTTATCTAAACATTTCCCGAACACGAGTAACAGATATTACTCCCCTACTAAATATACGCGATCGTCTCAATGGTTTGATTATGCATCGCTTGCAATTGGAAAGGACAGAAGATATCGCAAAATTGCTGTACACTGTAGTGGAACTCAACCAGCTGCGCATACTTGATGTATCTGACAAACCGCGAAATACTGTTGGCAGATACGATGCTGTCGATAAATTTTGCTCGCCAGAGGCCTTGCCATTCTTAGAGCATATTGATTTATCAGGAAACCAATTCGGGCTGAAACTTAGTGATGCAAGGTACATTAATTTGTGACTTAGTTACTATTGTTTTTTAGAGCCTTGCTCGAGAGCCATCCTAGACTTACGTTCGCTGGGTTTGCATCTTGGCTTTCAAGTCATGAACATGAGTTGGAAGGAATATACAGACTTTCTCAACAGTATCCCCACATAACGGTAAGTTGAGTATGTCTACTTTTAACATTTTCTATCCATCTTTACACCATAACTATTGCGTTAATTCATTTTTGTATAGATTGTTTGAATCTTCCCATTAATGTTTATGACTACAATTTATTAGTCTTTTGTTGGCATATGTACATCTTGGGCGGATTGCCTTGATATTACCTTAAATCACAAATATTATAAGCAGAAATGAATGATGGCTAGGAGTGGAATGCAGGGCGCGTATTTCGCCCTATTTGAGTGAACATCAAATCTGGGATGCAGGTATATCCAGCTGACGAGTTCAAAATAGGGCATAACGCGTGTTCTGTATTCCACTTCTAGTCGCCATCCATCTCTTCTTATTTTAGGTTGATGTTCTGATGTTTATGTTGATTCGAAAAACGGAGATACACGCCCTGCTACCTGACAAACTAATTTTTATCTAGACAGAACTAGTAAGTAGGTGTACTATAAATGAAAAATTGACTATAAGCCCCTGAATGCCCTGGTACGGCCGAGAGTGGGGAGAGTTTGCTCTCCCTCTTTAAATGCTCTCACATGACCACGTGCATACAACCACTGCCAATAAAGTCCTACTCACTGCCTTCTCGTGGCGGGGGTGTTGTTCACGAAAATGAGAGGACGAAAAGCGAATGTCCGGCGCTTTAACCGGGCTGGTGGACACGGAGAGTTTACCCGGGGAAGTTGGAAAACCCTGATTCCAAACCACTGGTGCATATGGGCTCCAGGATCCCGAGAGAACAAATGGCGTATGAGCCTATTGTCGGTAGCCGGTTACCATGGAACTACATCTCCTTACGTTGTTCCACTGCCTTGTGGGTTAAACTTCTAGGTCAAAAGCTTGGAGTGTGACCTCCTAGGAAACCACCTGTTTCGGTTTGGGCACCCGACCAGTATCCCAGCCCTCACACAATCGAGTGATTTATGTGGCGCATATATATTTGGTGCCTCCTTGTATCATTGTGTTTAAATAAGTAAATACTTTTTTATTACGGATCGGATATCCTGTTTACAAACTACTTTTGGCCAAAAACCAATCGACCAAGCACCATGTAATAGTTTATAAATATTTGATAAAACAATAAAATGTGAATAACTAATCGTCTTGACGTAGTTTGTGATTTTTGTTAACGCTAGCTCATTGTAAACCGTAAATAATTTTCTGTGAGGGTTGGCGGAATATATGTTTTATGGTTGTTTAGTTATTGCTTCATATATGTGGAAACAATTACATTGATAGGTATTAATCATGTCTTAGGCCAGTTAACCAAGCTGTTGAGATCAGCTCGAAGCGTCCTTTATTTTGTTTAAGGTTAACTTATTATGTTAGAAACCAAGAAATGTATCAACAGAAAGACATGGAAAATGAGATGTCTATTCAGTCAGTCAGTAACAACGTGGAACTTCGTACGTACGTACATCAGTTCGAGTTGCCATACCACATTAGCACAGAGATTCAGTTATCGATTCAAATCCCATAGTGGTAGAGGTACTGAAAGTATAAGTAGAGATAGGGGACATTAAGGTTTGATGATGTTATTAAAGGAGTATAGTCCAGTGGAATAAATTGGGAAAGAAAATAAAGGACATGAAGAATTCAGAAGATTAGAGTTTGAGAGAACACAAAGAGCGGATGCACCTGCGCCATTGCAAACGATTTTGAGCCATGTCATTCAAGGTCTCTAACCATCGGTTGCTATCGTCTCGCGGTCCCCAACCAGGTAGTCTACACCTACCAACATGACTCAGTCCACTTGTCAGTGACTTCATGGATTTGTGCCATGTTTTGGTCTGGCCGCCCCTACCTTTCTTCCAACCTACTCCTACACCATAAAACATAGCACGTCGGGGCAGTCGGTGGTCGGGCATGCGCAACACATGTCCCAGCCATCTCAAATGATTGAGTTTCACTACTTCCTCAATTGATTTGCCATCCTTACCTAGTACCCGTTTCCTAACAACTGAGTTACTTACTCGGTGGTCCCAGGATATACGAGCAATGCTTCGAAGACATCTATGGTCAAATACTAGTAACCTACGAATATCCTCTACTCTTACCGGCCATGTTTCACTACTATAAAGTAGGACGGAACGAACTGCTGCGCAGTAAACACGTCCTTTGGTTGATAGACGGATATCTCGCCTACGCCATAAATGACGCAAGTTGGCAAAAGCTAGTCGAGCCTTCTGTATCCGTGCTGAGATTTCGTCACACACCAAACCACAAGGGCTGATGAGACTTCCGAGATAAGTGAAGCGGTCGACACGCTCAACTACTTCACTCCCTATCACTAGTCCGGGTGTCGACGCAACCCAATCCTGAAGTAACATTTTGCATTTCGAGGGAGAGAATCGCATGCCGAATAGGCTTGCATTGTTGCTTAGAGTGGTCAACAGACTCTGCATTTGGTCAGCGTCTTCACCAAATAGAACTATGTCATCGGCATATTCTAAGTCAACAAGTGGATCTCCCGGTAGAAGTTCAACTCCTGGAAATTTAGATGAGGAAAGTGTCATCTCTAAAAGGACGTCAACGACAAAGTTAAACAAGAATGGAGAGAGTGGACAGCCCTGACGAACACCACTTGAGGTAATCAGTTCTGATGACAGTTCACCATAAGCTCTCACTCGACCAGTTGTGTTCGAGTAGAGAGCCTTTGTAAGGTTGACGTACTTCTTTGGTACTCCCTTCAGTGACAAACATTGCCATAGAACCTTACGATCAACAGAGTCAAATGCCGCCTTAAGGTCGAGAAATACTACCATTGTGGGACGTCTGAATGTGTGTCTATGTTCTAGGACCTGACGTAATGTGAATATTTGATCAATGCAACCACGTCCAGGTCGGAAACCAGCCTGGTTTTCTCTAGTCTGCTCTTCACGAGCTTAGGTTAGACGTCGAAGTATTATTGAAGCTAATATTTTAGACATTATTTTAGTCAAACTGATTCCTCTGTGATTGTCACAAGAGGACTTTTGTCCTTTCTTATAGACTGGCACGATCAGTAATTGAGACCAGTCAGATGAGATTATGTCCAGTTCCCAGATTCTACTTAAGACCTCAGTCAATCTCTCTACTAATAATGGACCGCCATCCTTAAAAATCTCTGGGGTAAACCTATCAGGGCCTGCTGCTCTCCCACGCTTCACATTTCCTATAGCTTTTTCAACTTCGTCAAGAGTCGGAGGACTTACATTAACTTGCCATTCAGGTAGATTGGAGATCGTGGGAAACCGAAGTGTGGCTGAAGGCCAGTTGAACTGATCCCTAAAGTGTTCTGCCCATCGATCCAATCTCCTGGTTTGAGAATGAATAATATGCCCATCTTTCTCTGCGATTGTTTCGCTAACAGTTGGGTTCCTAATACCGGTTTCCTTAACAAGTCTGAACAGTTGCCTGCTGTTAGATACCTCTAACAGCACGACCTATTGCCGCTGCCTTTTCCATCTCTCTTGCTTTCGCTACCCACCACTGTTCACGATCTTTGCGCAGGCTTCTAGTCAGCTTACGCTTAAGCTGACTCCGCTCTTCGTTATGTTCAGAGCCAGATGGAATGAGTTTTCGAGCATCTATCAGTGCGGTAGATGCTGCTGAGATCCAGTGTTTCTCCCTAACCTTATGGTTTACCGTACTTGCAGACATCACTGCTGTTTCTACAGCTTTTCGGATGTCATTCCATGCTGCCTCGGGGTGGGTATCACTTACATGGCTGCCTAACTGTTTTTCTAGATGTTCCTGAAATATACTCTTAGCTTGACTATCATTAAGTAGGACCCTAAGGGGTTTCCTTGCAGCATGTTTCCTACGTCCAGTAAGACGTAGACAGATACGCGCTCGCACTAGAGCATGATCTGAGTCTAAGCATGTGCTCCAGAATGAGCGACAGTCTTCTATCGAGCCCCTCCATCGGTGGCTGATAGCGATGTGATCTATTTGGGTCCAGCGTTGAGACGAATTAGGGGGTCGCCATGTCAAAAGATGTTTTTCCTTATGCTTAAAGTTAGTGTTTGCAAGAAACAGGCGGTTATCTGAGCATAGCTGCAACAGACGGTCGCCGTTATCTGTTCTTTGAGCCGCGACACCATAAGATGCACCCAGGTGTCTTTCCTTTTCGCTTAGTTTACCTACTTGAGCATTAAAGTCACCAGCCACTATTACTACATCTGAACGCCTAGCTTTTCGGAGAAGGCCGGAAAGCTTTCTGTAAAACTCATCTTTTACATCATCTGAGCTGCAGTCAGTGGGAGAGTAGGCAGAGACGACGAAGAGGCAACGACGAGTGTCCCTATCTTTTCGAATCCTTACTGTTCCGTTTAGTCGGACAGCACACAAACGACTGTCTACTGGGATCCAGTCTAAGAGAGCTAGTTCTGCCCTAGGACTCAATGCTATACCTACGCCAGCGAGGCCACGGGATGCAGCATCAGGGCTTCCAGATACACGAAGCGTAAATCGAGTTGGTTCGTTACTTAGACATGGTGCGGTCAAATGAATGACACTACTAGGATCCTGTGTGCGCGTTTCGGAGACGCAGCACACATCGATGGAGCGAGATTCTAAAGTCTTAGCTAAGGAAGCCTGTTGTCCTATTTGGCACAGTGTTCGGACGTTGAAAGCTCCTACGTGTAGTTTAGAGCGTGGTTTCAGGAGACCAGGAATAACATTCCGCGTACTCGAATCGTTCGCACTAGCGGGGCGAGGTGATAAAGGGACGTGAGAAGGGTTAGTCGTGGAGATAAGAGAGTTATTAGGAGGTGTAGGAAGGATTTGAATGTGACCAACTTGGTCTCGTGTGCTGTTACGGGTATGAGGGCTGATGTCACTTCCCGGTTGCCCACACCGTGGAAGGGTATTTCTTGGGGGACCTGAAAAGGAAATCGGATTAGTGTTGGTCTTAGCGACCTGAGTGCGTGACCGCAGAGCCCAAGGGACAACTGCTTGAGGCCGGTCGCGCACGGCCTTTTTGTATTTTATTTTATTTTATTTTAACACATAGATATCGGTACAAGAAGGCACCAAATACATATGCGCCATACATATCTCATTTGATATGTGTGAGGGCTGTGATACTGCCCGGGTGCCCAAACCGAAGCAGGTGGTTTTCTTAGGGGGCCACACACCTTTTTGTGGGAGGTTTTTAATGTGTTAGCTCCGTTCTTCAAAGGGCCTTACCGCCGGAGACGGAAATCCGTGGGGTAAGGTGAGGTGTGACATTTTTAGGGTCAACCTTTTCTAACCCCTTCCTTCCTTGTGAGAAGGCAGCATCGCTGCAGATGCTGGTTGTCCGAGGGAAACACCTTACTGCTGTCACACCTCTGTACAGTCAGCAGTACGACTTCGCCCTCAGACCTTGAGTTGCTGCTTTTAGTCATACCGTTCTCCAATCGACCTGCCTGGCATGGTAGAAAAAGTAAATAAACCGCAAAAACAAATTTAAGGGATTTACTGATTTATTTCGTCATTAATGGATAAAATAAGAGGACCAAAATACCATCTCAACTGTCATCTACTCCGATCCACGTTTTGATGTATCTCAAGCTGTTACTTTCAGTGAATAAAGACTTTAGTGAGCCATGGTGCAAGGATACGATGTTATAGTTTATTTTGTGATGTTACAAAGTGTAATCAGTTTTTCGCTATTGCTGATCACCCTCAGCATCTTAAATGTTTTGGTAAGTGCTTATGTCTGAAATAGCCTAACTGAATTTTATTCACTGAATGGTGTCGAATACGATTTTAATCATTGGATACAGGTACTTATTAAACTATGAGAATATAGTCTTACCAGTTGTCAGTCGTATCCTAAATATGTTAACCGTATAATGTCTTTGACTAGTGCTAAGTTGTGCTAGGCTAAATCTAATAGAAATCATAAGTTTTATTAAAGCCTTAGATACATCCTGTTTACGTTTTACAAGAAAACGTGGGTCGAGGACTTCTTATTGACTAGCTTAAAATGTATGAAATACTTTTTAAATTATGGTTGCTTTTTACAAAGTTGTTTGATTCACAAAACCATACTGTTCAGCAACTCATTGAATGAAATTATGGTTAATTATAGATGTTGGGAGATAGAGGGGATCAACTCTTGTTAAATACTTTGACGCGTAATAAGGATAGAGCTTTCTATCTTCAACATGCTCTACATAGTATTTTTGAAGCAACTAGCAATCATGAATCCGTCAAACCAGATCTTCTGCAAGTAAGTATAAGATATTTGTGTGCTTATTATCTTCTGCAGAGGTGAATTTTTCATATTTTAAAATGGGAAGTTTGTTGAATATTGTATCTTGTGGCAGGAGTGTTGTTTGCGAAATTGAGAGGACGGAAAGCGAATGTCCGGCGCTTTAACCGGGCTGGTGGACACGGAGAGTTTACCCGGGGAAGTTGGAAAACCCTGATTCCAAACCACTGGTGCATATGGGCTCCAGGATCCCAAGAGAACAAATGGCGTATGAGCCTATTGTCGGTAGCCGGTTACCATGGAACTACATCTCCTTACGTTGTTCCACTGCCTTGTGGGTTAAACTTCTAGGTCAAAAGCTTGGAGTGTGACCTCCTAGGAAACCACCTGTTTCGGTTTGGGCACCCGACCAGTATCCCAGCCCTCACACAATCGAGTGATTTATGTGGCGCATATATATTTGGTGCTTCCTTGTATCAATGTTTATGTGTTTAAATAATAACAATAGTATCAAGATCGTCCTGATTATTTCAACACAACCAACAAATACAGTATTTTAGATGGAAATCGTAATGTATTCGGCACTTTAGTGGTATCCCCTGTTATGTCATGAGATGACTCCTGAGTTATTTTCCCATTAAAACTTGTCTTGTTAATCAACCAAAATTATGGGAGGAAGGAGGTTTAAGATATCTCTCCACCACTTTTGTATTGACACTTCTCTGTGTTTTAAGACCGTGATCTGCTAGCTTGGGTTTAAACAACTTTATCAACATTTCGAAATTAAAACACTCCTTTAAAGGTCATTTTTGACCAGAACCAAGTAGTCATTAATTGGACTCTATTTATGCTCTTAGATCAAAAAAATCATCAACAGTAATCCAGGGTGCTTATGAGTTCCCCAAGTAGAAATATCCGTTTATCAGACTAGTGGCTTTTCGATGGCTGACTATCCATTAGTAGCGTGATTATAAAGTAAATATTGGGGCTCCAACTTTGTTAATTTACGTTGATGGTAACTGGCTCGTTTCAAAGGAGAAGTAGGTATTTTGGATTGACTCTAATTATCTAGTATAGTTATTCAAAATCACAAGTAACTCAGGAATTAGTTCGGATGATTTTCACCTCTGATGATTTATTTTCCTAAGTAAAAGCAAAGCGCCCTTGCGATAACCAAAGGGGAATCAGGTTGTCCTACTTATTGTATATTATTTAATTTCCATCAGTATGTGACGCATAAGTGGAGCTTTGTTACACCAAGCGAGATAAAACCATTCAAGTTTCGAGGTTGATGATAGGCATATTCTTCGTTAGGTTCTGAAGTATGGTAATATTCACCTGCCTTCAACTGTGTCAGTCAGAGAATCTTGTCATAATGACTGTAGTTAAAAATTGCACCAGAAAACATCCAGCTAAATGTTCTTTACTCAAACACTTATATCAGTGTGTGTGGTGGATTGTTACGTAAGTTGTGTACGATAAGTGCTTGTTATCTCTGCTCAGTTCTCAGTTTTGCCGTAGAGATAATAACTTGTCCTTCTGATTCTCTTAGGATTGTTCTCCTGAAGACTCATAAATGTGAAGTACATAAACATGCTTGTTCGATCGTTCTGACGAGATCCTGAACACATTTTTGGACAACGAAATGGTGTTTAGGATGCAACTTCAACCGCTGCTCATATCTGTTAGATTCCACTTTGTTTACATGTATACGCTGTTTTAGTGGTCAATGTTCCCGTGGTTCTTTTCTGTGTCAACATGTTTTTGTTAAACTATATTTGCTGTACCGTAATTGAAATCCTATTTATATTAACCAAAACTTTTTCACCAGCCTTATTTCTCAAGGAAGATGCTTCACTATTAAAAGAGAAATAACATTATTACCAAATTGGAAGTTCAGTCTTTTATTCTTTCCGAGAATCTATATAAACTAATACTTAATATCATTATAAGTATGTATTTCAAGTTATAACTTTGTTTCATTCGTTAATTACTTGCTTACTTTCTCAATATCAGTAATTTCTTCACATATGTCAATAGGATTAACTAGTTATCTGTCTTAGATGTGGAGTTTTAGTCAAGCAGACCGAATCAGTTATTGTTATTGTTGGACATTTTTTGATATGTAGTTTTGACTGACACGAGTAATTGGCAGAAAACTTCCACTTGGTCAAAACCGGATGTCACATTTGCCATGTACAAAGTTACTGACTTAGCTCAGTTTTTTTGTTGTTGGATAACATAAGCTTTCTGACTGAGGTATGTGACAAGTAGAAATCAGTGGCTGAATCCAGTAGTTATAGGTGCAGTCATCATCTATTTAGCTTTATGTTACATACAGATTATTTTATACTCAAACCAGTGAACTGTTGTCCCAGATTTTATATGGTTATATGTCCAACGTGTCGGTCTTCTTTGTTGAGATATTTCTTTTGATATATTTTGCTTTTTGTTGTTATTATGACTTTATAAATGTTTTTATTCTCATGTTGGATATCCTTGTATTGTAGTATGGGTTTAAAAGTGACTAAATACTTGATTTACTTTTCAGGCTGTTTTGCGCGTAATGAGGCTACATTTACGCAGAATGGAAATGATATTGGCAGGAACCGCTGTCATTTACAACTTAACTCGTAGTGAACAAAGCAACCAGTTACCTATAGATCTACTAAATCGTGCAGTGCGTATGACTTTAACGGCAATGGAAAAGTTCCCAGACAATAGACAGTTGCAAAAGAATTGCTTTTTAACGTTGTGCAGTGACACTGTACTTTATCGTGCTGTAAGTAAAGAAATATGTCCATCTGTCCTGCAGCGATTGTAGTTTTGCTGTTTACTGAATTGATATGTAAGCTGTTATATGTTGTTTTGGTTGATCAGTTTTCAACTGAATTTAGCTTGTTGACTAATTATTACATGCATAATGAAGATATCAGTGATGAAATCTCGTAACAAGCAATTTGAGTTCCACTTTTTACCTACAGTTCTGTATATTGATTTTATTTACATAAAAATTGGTTTGTCTAACAACAAGCTGCTTGTATGATTCTTCTTGGTTACTTGAATAAAATAGGTTTACACTTTTCCAGTATGGATTAATATTTTTGGTGTTGCCTTTTGACTGGAATTTTATACTGGTTAAATTTGACAACTGAGTTGTCACAAGGTAATGATTGGTACGGTCATCTTGAAATCACTAATTAGCTAACAGTAATTTTGTAGTTCTTATCTCATAGGCTTGTGTCACACAATTTACTATTATACCTTGTAGTAAAACTTCGCGAATAGGTTCAAACTTTTGAACATAAATTTGCTAACCGTTCACTAAAAGAAAGTTTGTAGAAACCCTGATCCCATACATACGAATACCGAAAACGACGCTTTGGAAACAATTAATTTTTGCAAGCATAAATGAATTGCATAACCTCATGGATTTTAAACTCCAGGTACCGTTGGTGAACGTTTATGCGTCACACGAATATGATTGAAATACTTCTAACGTGGAGATCCTTTGAAAAAAACATGCTAGTACGACTCGTTCCTTAATTTACCCATACTTTTTGCAAATACTCCTATGGTTTAGTTATAGTTACTTCTTACCGATAAAAGGTTAGAAGGAATGGTATTAAACCCTAGAGACTAGCAAGCTTGCCTTCATTCATCTACTTTACCAAGTGTAATCTTTAGCTGTTTAGCAAAGTAACGAGTTCCGTTACCTATATCTTGTGAACTTTTCAAGACAATCATATTTCGTTTACAGTTATTTTATTTCTACTAATAACCTTATTGTACAGTATTCCATGTGATGTCGGATGTATATAAATGTCACATCAAACATCTAGCGGGACATACGATATATGTATGTATTTGATGTAGATATGTTATATCTGTTTATGTAGAGTAGCTACCGAATGAAATACTATTTCATATCGCCATACTAAGGAGCTTTATCACAGTAACCCACATTTTTCCTCTTAATTCAGACGAACCTGCAGCTACTCTATTTGTTTATTGGTTGCATTTGTATATTTCTTTTTACTACTATACTTAAATAAAAGTTACATGTATTTAATTGTATTCATTTTAGACCTTCAATTGTATACAATGTTGTGAACTGGTTTTTAACAACTTGCTGTCGTTTGATGATATTCATATGAAGCGTATGGGTGTAGCCATTATTTCTATACTAGCTGCAGAAGTAGGTTGTTTTTAGATCAATATATAAGATTTTTCATTGTTCCACTTCATATCTGACAGTGCCTTGATTGAGTTTTGCTATATTTTTTAATTTATTAAAGTTTAAATATATTTTCTTCTGTTTGCCAATAAAAAGCTTCATGACGTATTCAGTAGTCAGTATTTTATTGAAACAGGCACTGTTAACATGGGAATAGACAATGAAAGCTCCACAACTAAATTACCTAGCTCGGAGAATAACTCCATCAGAGCTATCGGAGTTGCGAATTCTTTCCTGTATTTCAGTAATCAGTTTTTTTATCTGGTCTTTTTATCACAGATATAGTTTCCCATAACTCGTTTATACTGTGGTCAATTGTTTTTTACTGTCAGTGTTTTACAATGATTCGTTTCATTGTTATGAACTCTTCCAACTGAAGAAAACTACTGATATATCCACAAACTGATTCGCTAAGTCTATGTATATGCTTACTGTAAACGTCTTAATTTTCATTATAATTTCAGCATAAATTTTGTCATCAGAAATCATGTGAGAAGTGTTTGGTAGTTTAGTACTGGAATCTCTATAGATTTTTTATGAAGTGGTATGAAAATTTGATAACAACTACCATTTGTTCAACAATCGATTTATAATGGCGATCAGATTGTTTTCAAAGATATTCATGAATAATGTATAAAACTAATTTCCCAATCTCAATATTCCAAAAATTATGCTGAAGTACGCAGCACCCACAATTACTTGGGCACTGTTGCTGTGAGGCACTTATCACTTAAGGATCAAACTGCGAAATAGAATGCTGGTTTATCTATCACTGGGTTAAATAATAATTTTATTTAAAAGCAAATCTGTTTCCTATTAGTCGTTTTCATCTAATATACCTAATTAACTAATTTATACGGTGGAGGTTCAATGAAACGAGCTTTTCTGTTTCTCCTGCTAGCTGGTCAAGAGTTTATTTCAGGAACAACTAGAAAAACAGTTAGGCAGCTATGTAACTGATGCCCACCCCGAGACAGCGTGGAATGACATCCGAATAGCTGTAGAAACAACAGTGATGTCTGCAAGTACGGTAAACCATATTATTATTATTATTTTAACACATAAGTATAGGTACAGGGAGGCACCAAATACATATGCGCCACACAAATCTCAATTGATTTGTGTGAGGGCTGTGATACTGCCCGGGTGCCCAAACCGAAGCAGGTGGTTTTCTTAGGGGGCCACACTCCGAGCCTTTGACCTGAACGTCTGACCCACAAGGCAGTGGAGCATCGTGAGGAGATGTAGTCCCATGGTAGCCGGTGACCAACGATTGGTTCATACGCCATTTGTTCCCGCAGGATACTGGAGCCCATGTGCACCATTGGTTTGGGGTCCGGTTAAAGCGCCAGATATTCGCTTTTCGTCCTCTCATTTTTGTAAACAACACCCCCGCCACGAGAAGGCAGTGAGTAGGACTTCCCTGGCAGAGGCTATATACGCATGGCCATGTGAGAGCATTTCGAGAGGGAGAGCGGACTCTCCCCACTCTCGGCCGTACCAGGGCATTTGGGGGCACGGTAAACCATAAGGTTAGGGAGAAACACTGGATCTCAGCAGCGTCTACCGCACTGATAGATGCTCGAAAACTCATTCCATCTGGCTCTGAACATAACGAAGAGCGGAGTCAGCTTAAGCGTAAGCTGACTAGAAGCCTGCGCAAAGATCGTGAACAGTGGTGGGTAGCGAAAGCAAGAGAGATGGAAAAGGCAGCGGCAATAGGTAACAGCAGGCAACTGTTCAGACTTGTTAAGGAAACCGGTATTAGGAACCTAACTGTTAGCGAAACAATCTCAGAGAAAGATGGGCATATTATTCATTCTCAAACCAGGAGATTGGATCGATGGGCAGAACACTTTAGGGATCAGTTCAACTGGCCTTCAGCCACACTTCGGTTTCCCACGATCTCCAATCTACCTGAATGGCAAGTTAATGTAAGTCCTCCGACTCTAGGAAGTTGAAAAAGCTATAGGAAATGTGAAGCGTGGGAGAGCAGCAGGCCCTGATAGGTTTACCCCAGAGATTTTTAAGGATGGCGGTCCATTATTAGTAGTGAGATTGACTGAGGTCTTAAGTAGAATCTGGGAACTGGACATAATCTCATCTGACTGGTCTCAATTACTGATCGTGCCAGTCTATAAGAAAGGACAAAAGTCCTCTTGTGACAATCACAGAGGAATCAGTTTGACTAAAATAATGTCTAAAATATTAGCTTCAATAATACTTCGACGTCTAACCTAAGCTCGTGAAGAGCAGACTAGAGAAAACCAGGCTGGTTTTCGACCTGGACGTGGTTGTATAGACCAAATATTCACACTACGTCAGGTCCTAGGACATAGACACACATTCAGACGTCCCACAATGGTAGTATTTCTCGACCTTAAGGCGGCATTTGACTCCGTTGATCGTGAGGTCCTATGGCAGTGTTTGTCACTGAAAGGAGTACCAAAGAAGTACATTAACCTTATAAAGGCTCTCTACTCGAGCACAACTGGTCGAGTGAGAGCTTATGGTGAACTGTCATCAGAACTGATTACCTCAAGTGGTGTTCGTCAGGGCTGTCCACTCTCTCCATTCTTGTTTAACTTTGTCGTTGACGTGCTTTTAGAAATAACAGTTTCCTCATCTGACTTTCCAGGAGTTGAGCTTTTACCGGGAGATTCACTTGTTGATTTAGAATATGCCGATGACATAGTTCTATTTGGTGAAGACGCTGACCAAATGCAGAGTCTGCTGACCACTCTAAGCAACAATGCAAGCCTATTCGGCATGCGATTCTCTCCCTCGAAATGCAAAATGTTGCTTCAGGAATGGGTTGACTCGGCACCCGAACTAGTGATAGGGAGTGAAGTAGTTGAGCGTGTCGACCGCTTCACTTATCTTGGAAGTCTCATCAGCCCTTGTGGTCTGGTGTGTGACGAAATCTCAGCAGGGATACAGAAGGCTCGACTAGCTTTTGCCAACTTGCGTCATTTGTGGCGTAGGCGAGATATCCGTCTAGTAACCAAAGGACGTGTTTACTGCGCAGAAGTTCGTTCCGTCCTACTTTATAGTAGTGAAACATGGCCGGTAAGAGTAGAGGATATTCGTAGGTTACTAGTATTTGATCATAGGTGTCTTCGAAACATTGCTCGTATATCCTGGGACCACCGAGTAAGTAACTCAGTTGTTAGGAAACGGGTACTAGGTAAGGATGGCAAATCAATTGATGAAGTAGTGAAACTTAATCAGTTGAGATGGCTGAGACATGTGTTGCGCATGCCAGACCACCGACTTCCCTGACGTGCGATGTTTTATGGTGTTGTAGGAGTAGGTTGGAAGGAAGCTAGGGGAAGCCAGACCAAAACATGGCACAAATCCATGAAGTCACTGACAAGTGGACTGAGCAATATTGGTAGGTGTAGACTACTTGGTTGGGGTCCGCGAGACGATGGCAACCGATGGTTAGAGATCTTGAATGACATGGCTGGAAATCGTTTGCAATGGCTCAGGTGCATCCACTCTCTGTGTTCTTTCAAACTCTAATCTTCTGAATTCTTCATGTCCTTTATTTTCTTTCCAAATCTATTCCACTGGACTATACTCCTTAAATAACATCATCAAACCCTAGTGTTCCCTATCACTACCTCTTGCACTACGGGATTTGAATCGATAACTGAATCTCTGTGGTAATGTGGTATGGCAACTCGAACTGATGTACGTACGTACGAAGTTCCACGTTGTTACTGACTGACTAACTGCTAGCTGGTGTTAAAATACCATATTGATAATGCTGAAACATCTGTATGAAGATAAATGCTAACGCAATCTGTCGTTTTCTGGTAAACGAGCACTGTGAAACCTCGCTTCAAACTACACATTGGAGCCTTCAACGTACACACACTATGTCAAGTCGGTCAGCAGGCTTCCTTGGCTAAAACCTTAGAATCTCGTACGATTGATGTATGCTGTGTCTCCGAAACACGCATGCAGGATCCTAGCGTGGTCATTCACTTGACCTCACCTCGGCAAAACGGAGAGCGGATGAGATACACCCTCTGTGTATCTGGCGACCCGATGGCTAGTTCTCGTGTACTGGCAGGTGTAGGCATAGCACTAAGCATGAGGGCGGAACTGGCGCTATTAGAGTGGATCCCCGAAACCAATTTCATTATCGTCTCTGTGACCGAACACTCGATGCCGAACCTCTGCATTACTGACATGGTGTTGCCACTGGATGCCAGCAATCCTTCGGAGACAACGATGATCGGACACAGAGAGTCGTCTAACATCCTCAACTCGGAGAGGCCAGGTTTCACAAGCATAGAGCAAAACTGCTCTCACCGTCGCGTTGTAGATCCGACCTTTTACAGCCAGACTAACATCACGAAGGCGCCAAAGATGGCCCAGATTGGCATCAGCCGCTCTGGCTTTCACTATACTTGCATTTATCTCATCACTCACACCACCACCAGCACTTATGCAGCTACCTAGATACACGAGTCTCTTGACTACTTCTATCTGCTCATCGTCCAGAGTGAGTACAGGATTAGAATCCTGCCAGTCTTGTAGGAGTACTTTGCACTCCGGAGGTGCGAAGCACATACCATACCTACGGACACTGATTGCCAACCGATTAAGTGCGGATTGCATGGCTTGGGCATTCTCGCACAGTAAGACAATATCATCCGCATACTCAAGGTCTAGAAGTCTTTCTCCAGGCAACAGATCCACACCACCATTACTTACATCCATCAGAGCTGTTTCCAGAATGTCATCGATGGCAAAGTTGAAGAGGAATGGTGAGATTGGGCAACCCTGCCTAACCCCACTGCTCGAATGAAATAGTGGAGAAAGGTAGTTGTATGCCTTCACTCTGCCTGAGGTGTTTGTGTATAGGGCTTTTAGGATGTTAATAAACTTCTCAGGCACACCCTTCTTCAATAGACAATCCCAGAGAACAGTTCTGTTCAACGAATCGA